CCCAAAAAATGTCTTTAACATATACAGGAACCCATCGATGCCGCTCATGATATAGTACCCCCAACCAGTCATTATCATAAAGATTGAATTTAGTAAGCATCTCTTCCCATTTTTCCTCAAATTCATCTGTTGTCAAACAATCATAAATTGCATTTTGCATAGCCAACTTCATGGGTTCATACTGAGCATATCCTTTCAACTTCTCCGGTATTTTCTTCATTACATGCCATAAGCACCATCGATGTCGGGCCTGTGGAAAGACAATTTCTATAGCATTTTGCATAGCTCTGCACTGATCAGTTATGATAGCTTTTGGAGGTTTATTTGACATGCAACTTAACCACGACTTAAATAGCCAAACAAATGTGTCGGTGTCTTCACTAGATAACAATCCACAACCAAGCAAAATAGACTGTCCATGGTGATTGACTCCTACAAATGGAGCAAATGGCATGTCATATTTGTTCGTCAGATAAGTTGTGTCAAATGAAACAACATCTCCAAATGATTCATACATAGCCCGACTCCTTGCATCAGCCCAAAACAAGTTTCTAATGCGAAACTCCTCATCAACATCAATCACATAAAAAAATTTCTCACTATGTGCTTGCATCCTCATAAAATAACTTTGAAGTGATTCGGCATCACCTTCACCAAGCCTTAATCTTCTAGCTCTATTGATGTAATTCCTTGCATCTCGCTCATCAAATGTCAATGACTCGTATCCCCCCGCTTCAACAACCATTGAATGATAGTTCCTAGACACCCCAATCCCTGCTTCATCATTGATTTCTAATCTTCTCTTCACATGAGTACGAATTTTCTTATTCATTGCAAAATGGCGAGAGTCGGTGGGAATCAACTCATGATTATGCTCAAGGTTAACTGTGGTTAACATATATGTCCCATTCTTTTGTAGAGTACCTCGTACCCTTGCTTTGCAACCAATTTTTGTGGACAAAGATGGCTTCAAAGGGTTCACTTCTGATTTCTTTTTTCTCTCCCCCACTCGAGAACATTCAATTGCAAAGTTTTTTAATTCGCCATCATCTCCAAAATGTTGTGCTCTATGAGCTATAGAAAAGCCAACATGCTTAGCATATGTGGCATAAAATGTGTACACTTCTTCCCTTGAGGTAAAACACATACCCTTCTTCGGTTCTTCAACTTGTTTTTGAGGGGGTCGGAAATCAGATTCAACTTGTTCACCCTCATTTACTAAAGAATTGTCACAACCACTTGAATCAACCTCCATTCTACAAGAATCAAAAATGAAATTCAAATAGAATGATTTTAGAATAATAATTTTATAAGATCAAACATCAGCTAATCAACTGTACAAACTGTTGAAATTAACCATCAAACAAATTGAAACATCTGTGATGTGTAAAACTAATCACAGATGTTTATAAGATCAAACATGAGCTAAAATATTATAAAACTAATAATAAAATTATTAAACTAATCAAACATCTAATAATAAACTTTGTTGAACATATCTGTGATGATTGAAACATTGAAAAAGTTTGCATTTTGGTTTAATTTATCATATATCAATGCTACATGCTGTTGGTGTTCTCACACAGTGCCAGTTTCTTCTCCACTTCTAATTGCATACCACGATCTATCCAGTTTTACTACGGGTTCCTATATCATATATGCAGACCCGTTGAAATTTCTTGGGGTTGAGGTAGGTGGATGTATTCAAGTCGCAACCTATGAAAGATGGATCCAAGAAATTCCAATTGGAGCAATAGTGGAATTCAGGCCTTTTATTGAATCGAGTTGTTGTGTCCAACTTTAAAACCCTTTCTGTTTTATCTGTATTATGCTTCCATACTTCCTGGTAGGATTCACCAGTATGGTGATAACATAATAACTTGTAATGGTCAAAAATTGGTAGTTATTTTCGCACCTTCTGTAATGTCCAAAAAGTGAATGACTACAATCAAAAATTTGATAATCACAAACAAATTCTCTGCTTCAATTCTCGGCCAAAACAAACTGATAACATGCAGTCATGTCATCATTTGGGGTTATGAACAGATTTTATATACAACCCCAAATTATGAGCATCAACCATGACAGTTTCAGCATGGTTGATGTAGATAGAGAGAGAGAGGGAGAATGAGGGAGAATCAGGGGTTTTCGAGTAACATTACCTGACAAAATGCTATGGTCGACGGAGAGCTATGGTTGACAGAGAGCTATGGCTAACGGAGGAGAGCTATGGTCGACGGAGGAGAGCCATGGGGGATGCACGATGGAAGGGAAGAGGGAAGACATTCCCACTTTTTTTTTTCCGTCTTTCTTTTCAGTATTTTTCTTGTCTTTCAGGTGCGTGTATAACACCTTCTTCATTGTGCGATTCTTCTTCAGATGCCTTCATTAGCTGCCATCTCAGAGGGGGTGGAGGGGGTCTTCAATTGAGGGGGTCTGTATCGGAATTGATAATTTATTTTGTATTTGTATATATTATCTATAAAAAAAATTAGATAGATCTAATAATTATAAAATTATCATTTTATGGTATTTAGTTTCGAAAAAATGAATGACAAATATGTTTTTTGAATATAGATTATTTATTTTTTGAAGACAAACACAAAAAAGTAAAAATGTTACAATTATCGGATCGATTTAATTTTATTTTTTGAATTATATAAATGAAAGGTCATATAAAATAAATTGTTCAAATTATCAAAATAAAATCCGTGGTATGCCCAATGCCCCTCAAGTTTTTTTTTTTTTTAAAGCAAAAATAAAAATTTGAGAACAAATTTTAGAGTAAGCAAGGATAATAGTAATGCTCTTTTTTCTATCAATTGTAGACATAAACAGAGGTACACTACAGGAAATTTGCTTTTTGGTGGCATTTTTAAAACGCCGCCAAAAGCCTGAAAATAATCTTAATATTTTATAGCGACATTTAATATTTTCGTCTCGGATACAGCCGCCGCAATAGCTTTCCAACATGTTTGAAAAACGTCGCTAAAAATATTAGATGGCGCTTTTTAAAATGCTGCAAAATTTTTGACATCCGTCTCACCTTCCGTCCCAAATTAACGTGTGATGTCACAATGACGTCATTTAGTGGCATTTTTTGAAAAAAAAAGCCACTTTTTTATTTTATTTTTATATTATTTGTCCTCCTACTGCTGCAAGAAATTAATGTGTACAATGACGTCATTTTGGGGCGTTTTCTCTCTGTTTTTTTTTTTTTTTTGGGGCTCTGATATTTCTCTTTGTTGCTACTGCTGGAAACTGGATTCACAATTTGGGATATCATGTTTTATGTTTTCTCTATGCAACCAAACTGCTAGATTTATAAGCAACTAGGATCCCAAATTTTCCATTTCTTTGCCTTTTTTCTGGTCAACTGCAGTGACCAACCAGTTCAAAAAGTTGGGCTAAAATCCAACCAGTGAAATTTATGCTTAAGCAATGTATAAAGCTAGTGATCATGTGCCTCTTGGCACTTCTTCAATTAAATTATCAATGCAAACATCTTGTAGGCAAACATAAAAAAAACAAGTCAAATCCATTGCAACAGTGATATCATTAGTCAAGACCATGATTGTACAATGCATACCCATTCCTAGTTCATAGTTTCAGAAGAAATCCTTAAGTTGAGCATTATATATGGATTCAAGTTCAGATCTGCGGCCATTAAATTCTTCAATCTTTTTCCACTTCTTTCTCAAAGAATCTTCAGCTTCCTTCCTCTCTGCACATAATTTATTCAAGCGTTGTACTTCAGACATCAATGCATTCAAGCTAGCCCTCAATCCAGCAACTTCTCTTCCCTTGGCCCAAACCTCCAACTACACAAAGATAAAAAGGAATTGCTAAGAGACAAGCTCTTGCTCGTCAACTTCCAATTCAAATTGTAGATTAAGCTTGAAAGGATGAAATTGGAGATGGAAATAACTGATGCAGTAGATTTTTCCAAGCCAGTCAATAGGTTCATAATTAAAAAATAAAACAAATTTCTCTGGTAACTAAAGTTATTGCCATTTTAGAATGCCTAGGCCTTAGGTAGCAATGGCAGGACAGGAAACCTCGACATAGGATGCCCTTGTTGCACCTTGGGACTCTTTAATGTTTAGAGACAGAATTGGATGAATGTCACGCCCCAAACCCGCCCCTAAAAGTTTGGGCATGACCACTTCAGAAATGGACATTTAACTTGATATATATATTAGATATGGGGCATGAACGGAAGCATTAATATTTTAAAATAACAGAAAACCATCTCCATTGAGCTATAATTACCATGCCAGGATCATTAACGGAACATAAGGCAAATAAACATACAGTGACGTGCATCTGAGAATTTAGCTATATGCTTATACACATACATATACAGACCCAGCCCTCAAGATTGGGCGTATAACAAAAGCATTGAAAGGTAAAAGAATTATACACACTTCCTCTTTAAACAGACAATCAGGGTACAAAATCAAAAGTTTAGCAAAACTCCGTAAAATGAGTTGCCTTCATCTAAGTGCCTGGACACCCTGAGGTTGACATAGGAGGAACGGATGCCTTGGGTTGAGACTGACCTCCAGGTGGAGTGCCTACAGAAATAGACATAACATAAAGTGAGCCAAACTCAGTGAATAGTAGTATGTAACAATTTAATAATTAACTTGAATTACAATGTACATGTATAAGGGCGGAGGACGTATAGTTAGCTTTATCTTGTAATTATTTTCAGAATGGCCTTAGGCCTATGGTTTTCAGCCCTTAAACAGAATGGCATTAAGCCCTTAAATAGACGACATTAAGCCCTTAAACAGACGACATTAAGCCCTTTTCATGCATGTATGAACTCAAGAGGTGGCTCGCACGGATTCTAGAGGTGACTCGCATGGCAGCACTTAGTTCCGTGCAGCACTTTGTTTCATACTAACAGATCATACAGAATGGCCATAGGCCCAGATGTCACAAATTGGCCATAGGCCTCACAGATGTTACAGAACGGCTATAAGTCTCATAACTTTCACAGAACGGCCATAGGCCTCATAACTTTCACATCGGCTTTAAGCCCAGTTCACATATGTGTGGACTCAAGAGGTGGCTCGTACGGATTCTAGAGGTGGCTCGCATTGCAGCACTTAATTCCGTACAACACTTTGTTCCATACTAGAAATTATTAGGTCTTAAAGACCGAACCATCCATATCATGTCAGAGCATAGCATAACTGGCACAGATAAACGGAAAATTCATATACTTGAACCACAGTATTATTACCCCCGGGCAAGGGCCATAAGACCACGGTATTCTTACCCCGGGGTAACGGCCTTGTGCTAAGGATGCCATGAATACTTATATATATATATATATATATATGGACAATCATTCCTTAATTTAAAACATAACATATCAGAAAATAGAACATTTCTTGCCATATCATGTCATTATAGTATGCTTAACAAAGACAGAACAATTTACATTCTAACGTGGGTTACATAATGATGTTAAACCTTTGCATTCATGTCGTAGATTCTAAATGACCTCGGGTCCATACGTAACACAACAGAATAATCTTGGATTCATACAGATACCATTGTTCAAGGATGAACATAAGTTCCATTTATTCTTTAAGATGTAACGTAGTATGCTAATAAATAATAGAGAGTTAATATTTGTTATTGACAGAACAAAAGGATTCCAAAGTCATGCCGATGTGCGCAAATCTTTCAATGTTCATATAAGTTCACACTGATTTCCAATCGTCATAAATGTTTGTGTACCACTTACAAAGAACAGAGTGTTAGTGACAATAATTATCAACAGTAAATAAAATATACATTTCTGTACTGCTACTCACAGTGATCGGCTCCCGATAGCAATGGGACGGTGTCCTCGTTTCAACCTACAGCACAATGCACAACACATAATATGAGATTATACTCGATCCTTTACTTATTCTCTTTGATCATTCGATCAATTAGCCATGGTGGTACCAAGCTCATTATTCCTTAATAAGTTATAATCCATGTCTCAAAAAACAGGAGAAGTTGATGGGAAATGGTTTAGGTGAAGAAATAGTACAAAACTGGTTGACAAAAAGTGAACAGTTGTCACCAATTTAGGCATAACTATTTCTTTATTTAAAATTTGGGAGTGAGACCACTGCCATTGAAAACTAGACTTCCGGGGCTTGATTTTAGGCTCAAGAATCACTCAAAACGGAGTCCCGAGGAAAAAGATATGCTTATTCAAAGTTGGTTGGACAGAGCTGTCTCCCGCACGTGCGGGAAACAGAGCCGCACGTGCGGCTCTGGGCAGTTTGCTATCCGAAAATGGCTCTTTTTTCTCCAACACTTGGTTTTTCCATTTTTAAACTTGGTTCTTAACATAAATCACTCAAAAACATGTAAAATTATCTCATAACATGATAAACTAACATCAATCAAGTGCAATTCCATTTTAAACAAATCAATCTTTGCCTCAAAAATAGAAATTCAAGTCTCATCTTCTATATAATCAAGCTTCTATAATATATACCCCAAAATCATACAAATACATCTTACACATGGTTGATCTTCACACCACAACTTGGTATTCCATGAATCATTCTTAAGATTGAACCCAATTCAAGCAAATTTAAAGAAATCAAGGTTCAATTCCTTGAGTTTAACTCATTTCATTCATAACCCAACACACTTGTTCATTTGCATATTAATTTTCCCCAAATCCATCATTGATTTCATGTAGTAGATGCATTATTTACAAAGATAATAGTTGAAGCCACATACCTTAACTTAATTCCTTGTTTTCCCCCTTTAATCTCTTCAATTTTCCCCCTCTCTATCTCTCTTTCACGGTTCTCTCTCTCCCTAGATATTTTATTTGACTTCAAAATGATAAAACCCCGAACTCACATGGCCTATCCATATATGTATATATCTCATACTTAAGCTTAACACAAGGGAGAGCCAAACGTGGCCTTACGAATCGCGCAAAATTAAATTTCAATTAAACTTTTCAGATGACTCTAAAAATTATGATGATCATAAATATGCCCCCTGTTCTGGTTTCTAAAGCCTCTAAGGCCTTCAATTTGTAGTACTAAGTTAACCACCCAAACATAAATTAACGAATCAGACAAATTAGATTTCCAATTAAGTTTTCCAAATAGTTCTAAAAATTTCAATTAACACATCCAAGTCCTCAATTGTGATTTCTGAATCCGTAAAGGTTGATAATTTCAATTTTAAAGCCGTGGCTCAACAGTTAATTCCTCAATTTAAACACATATCATTAAATTAAAATGCATTAACCCATAAGGCCGTAAAGGTAATATTTAATACAGATTTTGGGGTCGTTACACTAAAAGTGAGTAAAGACAAAATTTAATCAGTTTAATTATCCCTAATCAAATTTCTACAACAATGCTTATTATTACTTAAAATTATGCTGATCTCAGATGTAAAATCAATTTCAGGTAATTAAGTCTCTAAGGCTTCCAATTTCTAATTCAATCATTATAATTGTGACAGATGCTTTCCTTACCAAACAGATAGAGGTTTCAATTTATAAGAGCCATGTGCTTAAACTATTTCACATTAAACATTTAACTGCACAGAACAAAGGACTAAATTATGCCAGAAACACATACAAGGGTCGGGTTATTACAATGAAGATTGATCTATTTTCAACTATTATTAAGAGACATCATAGACAAAATTCAGCACCAATTCAATTATTTGACAGAGACCAAGACCATATTATTCATTAAATCAAAAGCAACCGTATTAAAATTTTCATTTTTATTTCTTCTTTCACTACTAGAAAATCTGGAAAATAACACGGAGGCTTTTGCGACGGGGTAACTCCCGTTGCAAATAATGATTTTTTGTGACGCGGTATAGTTGCCGTCACCAAAAAGTATTTTTTGCGACAACGTTTATCTACTGTCGAGAAAAATGGCCTTTTGCGACAAAAATTACCTCCGTCGCTAATGATTGTAAAAGAAAAATGCAGGAGAATTTGTGACGCACGGTATACCGCCGCAACAAGTATTATTTAACGAAAGTAATAGGTTACTGTCGCAAATGGTGAACCATCTGTGACGGCAGAAGCCCATCGCAAAAAATATTTGTAAAACGACGTCGTTTTAATTTGGTAATGATGTATCATTTGCGACGGTAGTATATTGGCCGTCGCAAAAAAATAAATATTTCCCATCCCACTCATTTCTCCCATTCGCGGTCATGCTAAAATCCCCAAAATCCTCAACTCAAAATCCTTAAAATCAACAAACCAAAATCCCCAAAATCCCAATCCATTGATCCCAGAATCTAAATCCATTAGAACCTAAATCCCCAATCCATTAGAACCTAAATCCCAGAATCCCCAAAATCCTCAAATCAAAATCATTCAGTGCCGGAGTGAAGGACGAGGGTGAACGACGACATTCGTAGAGTGACGAGGGTGAATGACGGCATTCGTAGAGTGACGAGGGTGAACGACGGCCTTCGCCGGAGTGATGAGGCAGCGACTGTGAACGACGAGTGACGAACGACTGTGAACGACGAGTAACGAGGCAAGAACGAGGGTGAACGACTGCGAATGACGAGTGATGAGGTAAGACTGTGAACGACTGTGAACATTTTAAGGGTGAGTTCCACCACCTTCAATCCTTTCCATTCTTCAATTTGATTCCCACTTTGTGCCTGGTTTGGAGGTAATTTTAATTCTCTCGCACTTTTTTGCTTGCCACTGTATTGGTTTTAGAGAGAAAAAATTAAAAACACATGAAGAAAAAATGAAAGGAAATATAACAATAACAGAATGATGAAGAAGACGGGGTTAGTAGAGTCATTTTCTATAGATATTGGAAGGTAATTAAGTAATTTGATCTTTAATGGTGACACTGTTAAAAGTCATACTTTGACAATGGGATATGCATAATTTCTCAAACGAGAGAGGGAAATTTATAACTTAGACAAACCTCAGAAAGAGTTTTTTAGTTTACACATAAAATTATATAGAAAATTATCTACTCTGTTTAGAGAGTCCATCTCTCTAGTCTCCAACTAAAATGAAAAGTCATTTGCATGTACCGATAAAATTAAATTGTGTAAGAAAATAAATTAATTATGGCTCTAATTTTAATTAAATAAACATTTATGGATCTCAAGATTAATTAAATAAGTTATCTAGGTATTTACTACAATAATTAAAACTTTAAATTTATTTACCAACTAAGTGAGTAGAAATCTAGGCAAAGTGAAGTGAGTTATCATTATGAAAGTGGAATACAAGTGCTGTATCTTTTACTCTTTTTTTTTTTTTTGGTCATATCCCTTTTGCTGAAGTGAATAGTTTGTTGACATAAAACTACTCATGACTTGCTGACTGAGTTATACTAACTAATGAATTAAACATGTTTGATAAACAGCCATAATGAAAAGAAAAGAAAAGAAAAGAAAAAAAAAATAAAAAATAGCTCTATTGTACATTTAATTTATTAATGCAGGCAAATCTTTAATGACAGAGAGCTTACATCCTGCTGCAACAGAAGCACATCCTTTGCACGCACCTTCGTCCAGTTGCTCCTCATTTTCATCCTCTAACCTTGATACAAAGGTAGGTAATTCTTCTTCTTCCTTACCCCATATGTTTCTTTACATCTCTTTCATTTTCTCCATCACATACATCATGTGTGGATCTATGGCTTCTTCAAGAAAGAATGACATTCACTTTCTATTTTTTCTGCCAAGTTAAGACTAAGCCAAGTCTCCTGCTTAAATGACTATTCCAGAACCAATTTTAATTCATTGTTTGAGAGATGCTACAGAGTTAGGCATGTGCGGATTAAAGGGTTTGATGTCTAAAAAATTTACTGTGAACTGTCTAACATTGGTTAGTTTCAAATTGCTGAACATATTGTAAACCAACTACGAACTATCTGAGGATAGCATTTGGCCCAATAGCGTAGGCCCTTGGTTGTTTCCTCACTAATCGGGATTCGAAGCCCACCAATCCCCTCTTCCCTTAGGATAATTAATATGTGATATTATGTCTTGTAATTATATTTTTACCCTTACATCTCATTATGACTTTTACATTTGTTGTAATTATATTTTTTTCTAGGACATATTTGTTTTGCATGTGAGATGTATATCTCCCAGTAAGTTTGCCTGAAGCAAATTAATTGTGGGAAACACATATGAAGGAAGTACAGATGATGGATAAGAGTTGGATTGATTTGCCAAATAGGATGTCGAGGGAATACATTAATGGGATTGATCAATTCCTTGTATTTGCCTACACCAATAGGGTTGAAGGTTTGATGATTAGTTGTCCGTGTAGAAAATGTGAGAATCGATACCATCTTGTGCGAGACGGTGTACGGGAGCATCTGATTTTGAATGGTTTTTTAAAAAGGTACAAACATTGGATTAAACATGGGAAATCTTACGTATTTCTGCATGGTAATCGAGAGAATGAAACATTGGCTAATTTAGACATTGGCGACGATATGGTTGGAATGATACAAGGGGCTACGAGAAATTCACATGCCGGTACAAGTGTTGAGGGTAATGAACCACAGGGGCCTGATCCCCATACATCTGAACCCCAGCTCGGTCCAAATGCAAAGACTGCAAAGTATTTCAAACTTCTTTAAGATGCACAAAGTGAATTGTATCCGGGTTGTCAGAAGTTCACATCTTTGTCATTCGTTGTTCGACTTCTACATTTGAAGGTGCTTAATCAATGGACAGACAAGTCTGTTGACATGTTGCTTGAGTTATTGAATGAGGCGTTCCCGTTGGGTGTGAAACTCCCGGACTCATATTATAAAGCTCAAAAGGTCAAAACAGATTTGGGCTTCACGTATGAGACGTGGGATGCATGTCCCAACAGTTGCATGTTGTTTTGAAATGAAGACGCCAATCTTGATAAATGTGTCATATGTAACAGTTCAAGATGGAAATCAAATGGTGCTGGTGGTTCAAATGGTCCTCACAACGGTGGCAAACGAATAGCTGCAAAACAAATGAGGTATTTTCCTTTAAAGCCAAGGTTGCAGAGGTTGTTTATGTCATCCAAGATGGCAAAGTTAATGAGATGGCATGCAAAGGAACGAACTAATGACGGTGTCTTTAGGCATCCTGCAGACTCTCTTGCATGGAAAGATTTTGATCGTCGGAATATTGACTTTAGTAATGATTGTCGAAGTGTAAGGCTTGGCTTAGCATCTGATGGTTTTAACCCATTCAAGACGATGAACGTAGTTCATAGCACTTGGCCTGTTGTATTCATTCCATACAACTTCCCGCCATGGATGTGTATGAAACAACCATTTCTAATTTTATCTATGCTTATTGACGGCCCGAAAGGACCTGGTGACAAGATTGATGTGTATATGCAACCGTTGATTGAGGAGTTGAAAGAACTATGGAATGACGGTGTCTCCACATTTGATGCATCAACAAATCAAATGTTTCAAATGCATGTAGCTTTACTGTGGACAATTAGTGATTTCCCGGCATATGCAAACTTGTCAGGATGGAGCACTAAAGGCGAATATGCATGTCCTTGTTGCAATAGGGAAACTACATCGTGTTGGTTGAAGCATAGTAGGAAACAATCATACTTGGGTCATCGCAGATTTTTACTTAGTGGCCATAAATTTCAAAAGGATAAAGTATCATTTGATGGTAGTTGGGAAGTCAGATTCAAACCAAAATTGTTGTTTGGAACTGAGATGCTGCTACAATTAGAATCTGAGGGTATTTTAACACAGTACAAGAGGGATGACCTTAAGGAGAGGCATAGGA